ACAAATGAATACAATTTGAGAACTCACTGACCACTGAGTTCAAGCTCTTGTCAGTCATTCCACGTGGTTACCATGCTTTCAAAGGTCGGCAGAGCAGGGGAAAGGTTGAGATCCCTCTGCGATCCTAGAGAAGTCTGCTGTGTTTTGTAATGAAAGGGATATAAAAGAAAAGAGAAGGAATTAATCTTTTTGAACATCTGTTATATTTCAGGCCTTTTTGAGGTGCTTTACTAACATTGTTTCATTTACTCTTTTCTTTATACCATCCCTAAAAGGTTGGTATTATTAGTCCCATTTTACAGATGAGAAAATTTGGCAGAGGAGTAATTATAAAAAGGCTACATCAGGATCCAAACTCAGGAGTGTGTGACTTTCTATACCTGTGCTCTTTCCAGGACACCACAGTGTTACATAATCCAGGAAATCATTATTCCTTCTGTTTCCCAGCAGCAGTCCAGATGAAAACCGTAATAAGCCAAACTACTTCCCTCTTCCTGGGTAGGTTTTCATTGAAATTTCTCATTATAATGTGTGCTCCTGCTGCCACCTGCTGGCAGCTTTGCACATCCTGATTTTTTTTCTCTGTAAACCCTCAACCTTTGTGAAGGAGAAACCATTTGGCTCCAAAAAAGGCAAGAAACTCAATACAGACAACCAGCTGGTTAATCTCCCCAAAAGTTGGTAAAGGTATAAGGGAGTAATAATTCTCCACTATCTCCCTTGGGGAAAAATCCTTTCTCCTTTAAGCTGCTCTTAAGTTTTCATCAGATTTCATTTGTCTCTAGGTATTGAAAGAAAGCACAGATGCTGTTACACAGGCCATCTAAATTTGAATGATGGTCTCTTGCTAAATTGGAGTATTCCATGGCTCCCCTATGTAATACTGATCACCACAGTGACAACCAAAAAACCAGTAGGTAGCAAACAATGCCTTGACCAAGAAGAGTCTAAGTGCCTAGCAAAGCTAGGCTTGGTCTCCTCACAGAAGGTGGTGGACCCAGGGGAATCAGACCACTGCATATCTTGTTAGCCTCCTGGTGCCTTCACCTGGGCAGCCACACCACGTGGGGACTCCACTGCCTTTGTCAGAGAAACCACACACACACAAGCCCTGCAAAAGGAGCGCGGGAGGTGTCGGTGAAGGGCCATAATAATCATATACATTGTATATTGACAAAATAAAAATTAAAAAAAAAAAAAAAAACGTAAGGAGTTGTTTTCTGGGGGGGTTTGTTAGGGTTTTGTTTTTCTTTGTTTCCTTTTCCTTGACAAAATGGGGAAAAACCCTTGCTGGGGGCGGGGGAACTTATTTCTGACTGTTGGAAAAAAAGAAAGCAGGAATTGTTGTCAGGACAATTAGGAGCTCATCAAAGCCTCATTCTGCTCATCAGCCATCATTGCCCTCCACCCGGCACCCCCGCATGTTCCTCTAATTCAATGCTCGCCTAATGAATAACTCCCAGGAACAAAAGACCCTTTCAGGCGGGCTCACATAATTATTAGAGGAGCCTTGCGTAACTGTCGCAGACTACTTGTGTTTTCAGGCCTGTCTCTAAATTTGGTTATTCACAACCTTTATAGCTCAATATTATTGCCTAACTGTGATCATTTTCTAATTATCCTAATAATACCTATTAAATAATTCCCATTAAATCACTTGAACTGGAGCAGCACAGGCCAGCTCAAATACAACTTAACCTAATAAGCATTGGTCATTCATTAAGCAACAGGGCAATTTTTAAAGGAATTAAATAGAATATTAAACTGCAAAGGAATATTATTATTGCACAAATGTTATTACAAGTTAGAGTGTATTAATTGTGATGCCTGGTTTGCAAATCTTCCATTCGGTCTTCTTTGAGGCCACCCTCCAGGACTTGATTCTTTGAGTCTCCAGCCTCTTGTTGATCCACATCTGTCACCCACACGAAGACAATCAAGGAGAAAAAGGCCCATAAACTTAACAGGGGAATTAAATTACCCAGGTTATAAAGGGAATGAGTGGAATCCATCTTCTGGCTGATTTGGCACACCTTTGAAAACACTACAAGCTGGCCAGCTTTCTTTAGCTATCACTCAAAATAACCTTTTTTTGTTTGTTGTTTACATTTGGGGATGAGGGAGATTTTTCAGAAGGAGCTTTAAAAATTTGATTTCTATAATTTAAATTTCAAGCGATAAAGATTAGAGAGACAATTCTTCAAAAGTGTATGTATGTGGATACTTAATAATATTTTGTAAAATAACATAAGGTAGCATTTATTGACTGCCTACCAATACCCCTAATTCTCAAAATGTGAGGATTTTGAGCTCCATTTTTTAGATAAGGGATATGCAGCCAGAGAAGTTAAATGATTCTCCCAGGCCTACCCAGCCTAAATGGAGTGCAGCAGAATTTGAACACGGAGCTTTTGGATGCCTACAACTCCTCTTTTCTCACCGTGCCACATGTTGACATGTGTTGTTAATGGCAAACTGAAAGATGCCCTAGCTTTGTTGATTTATTATTTTCATTTCTGGGGCTCTCACTGAAATCAGCAGATTCCTAAAGACAAGTACAGGAGCTTTCTTGATTGAAAATTTGACCAAACACCAAACAAGGGCAGTTCATTCTATCGAAAGTCCCAACTGCAGCTGGAGAGGCAGGCAGTGATTCTCATTCTAATCAGTAAGAAACAGTCATCATTTTTCTAATGACGCCTACTTCTGATGAGTGAATTTGGGTTATCTTTGCAAGGAAATCCACAGTGTATTTTACTAAGAAAAGGAACAAATATTGATTAACCATCTACTCCATGCCAGGTACTAGGCTGGGGGTTTTATGTAAACTGTTTTAGCAGCTAATCCTCACCACAAATCCAAGAAACAGGTTCAATCATCACTCCCATTTTACAAACAAGTAAATTGAGGCAAGAAGGGGTAAAGAGTGACTGACTCCAACATTTCCCTGATATCTAGTGACAAATTAATCATGCAGTTAATGAAGCTAAAACCTCAAAGCCCCTTGCTTGGACAGGCCCTTGCAAGGCTCTGGGAGCAACCCTCACAGTTTTGCTTGTATGACTTTGTATGAGCCTCGGGCCTCAGAAAATCTGCCCCTGCTAGAAACAGCACTCTCCAATAATTGAACTTTTTTTTTTTTTCCTTTTTGTCTTTTTTCCTTTTGACTGGAAACGGATCGCAACCCTCAGTGTCGCACCCGTACCAGACCAGACCGGGACCGGCAACGGGATCACAACCCTCGGCGTTGCACCCGCACCTCGCTCAGCCAGTGAGCGGGAACCGGTCTGTATGTGGGATCCGAACCCTCGGCGGGAGCGCCGCCGCGCCCCCAAGCGGCGCACTGTAGCAGTGCACCACCAGGCCGGCCCCTAATTGAACTTTTAAAAGAACTGAAACCCTAAACTTTCACTGGGTTATTTACAAGTAACCTATTGTTTACATTATCACACACTGAAATGTGTTTTCAGTGTTTGGTTTTTCATTTTAAATCCCAAATACAGAAGACTGAAGACATCACATAAGGAAACTAAAGAGATAATACCCACAATGAACTCTAAGGGCCCCTCCAATTCATCAGCCATACCACTTGCTGGGAAAAATACAGGAAAATGGTCAGGGCCCCTCAGATGTTCAGAATCTCGCCAAGCATTTGGTGTAAATATGCCCATGCACCCAGGTGTTCCTTGGCTATTGACGAATGTAATTGCGTATGTGCACCCAGGTGTCCTGGGTTATGGACTTGAGTATAAAGGACTAATGGCTCTGATACAGGGTGCTGCCCCCTGCTTCTCAGGATGCTTTGGGAGGCTACTAGGTGGCTGCTCCTAGCTCTGAATAAAGCCTGTTAATTTTTCACCCACAGCTCCCAGGATCTTTTCCTATTACCTAGCTCGTGGACCTGCATGTGAAGGTTTTGTGACCTAGTCTGTGCAACAGGCTTGAGGGGTCTGTGAGCCCTAGCCCTAGTTTATTAACACGACTGCTGGAGAGTTTCCAAACAATAGGGATTTTAAGTCATCCCATACCTGACAACCTTTCACTGGCCCCTCATTTGTTAAAGATATTTCACGTCTTTTCACCTTTGGCCTTTGCAGGTGCTGGGTACTGTTACCTCTGCCAGAACAATCTCCTCACCTCACTGGTTCCTCCCTGGTCCTCAGCCCTTCCAGGAAGCCTTGCCAGTGGCTCCCCTCCTCCCAGGGCCAGTCAGAAGCCTCTGGGCTCTGTTTGCATTGCACCCTGAGGCTTGTTCCTATCACAGCACACATCATACTGTATGATAGTTTGTCTATTTGCATGTCTGTAGCCCTCAATGGACTGTAAACTTCTTAAAGCAGAAGCTGCATTATACTCATGGTTATAGAGCCAGGATCTTCATGTCTACCACACAGCAGGCATTCACCAGATGAGTTCTGTTTGAATCTAAGAATCTGAAGCTATCGGTGGAATGGTTACCATTTACTGCTTTACCTTGGGCCAAGCAATGTGCTAATTTAAGCCTCATAAATAATTTCTTTTTAAATCTTTACATCAGCTCTGTAAGGTAGGAAACCACCATTATCCCCATTGTAGATGAGAAAATGAAAGTTTATAAAGGTCTATAACGTGCCTGGCCCATGGGCATACAGGTTGTAAAGAAATAAATCGGGACTTTGACTCTTAACTCTGGGCTTTGAATCATTACTAAAACTGCTTGAACACCCATATATTTCTCTTGAACTTATCTTAACCCCTGAATTGCAAAGAACATTCATACTAGCCAGAAGAGAGGCTGGGCAGACCAGAAACCCAGTTACGAGGCCCATAGGCTGACTAGTGGCCCTAGGAATTTCAAATTGGACCACCCGTTCTATTTTTCACATGTCTATATTGACAGACCCACAGCGGGTGACAAGGTCTTATTGCTCTGCCTAGATAGTTAGACCAGTACTATTTTGCAGCATAGACCATAGACACAGACCAATGCTGGCTACTTGCAATCTGCTGGGATGCCATACCTGCTTCTCCTCGCAACGCCTTCTCTAGCTTCACGCCCTGGATCTCGGAAGCCCTCTGCCGCTCCTCCACCTCCTCCAGCTGCCTCTGGATGGCCTGGAATGTCAGGATCGCAAGTCACGTGGGGACTCTCCACACGTGGAGTCATGCGAGGGGGCCGATTCTGCCACTTACTCTCCAGGAGGAAGAGGCACTCTAACTCGTGATGTTACTGCCTTGATTGACTGGGCAAGGACCTCTGAGTTCCCAAACAACTAGACCTTGATGTTTCCCATTTTTAGTATGACACGTAAAAGCTAGGAGTCTGTGTGTGTGTATGTTCAATCTGCCCTCAAGTAGACGTTAAAACAGTCCCCTTTGACAAGGCCAAAGATATCCTTTAGGACAGAGGCTGTTGGGCTAGGTGGGTGGTCCTGATGGCTCCTAGACAAATGACTGGAGCTGCAGCCACTACTCAGAGTAGGGTAGGGGCTCCGGGGGCAAACACAGAGTATGTTCACATTCTATTTTCCCAAGAAGAGCCAGCAGATACCTCCCAAGAAGTTGGTCTGGAGCAGGAGAGCTGGGCCAACCCCTGGGACTTGGTGTTCCTTTTTCAGATTGTCCTGCTCCTGTCATCAGCTACAGATTATACCTATTCTTTCATCACACCATGGGTGAGTGCCCAGGGTTCTTTCACTGCAGAAGTGTACTGTGGCTGTGTTACTGCAGGTTATTAAGACAAGGCACAAGATGTTTAACCCATTAGAGACAAGCTCATTTTCTCCTAGGATTCACCATAGGCACTTTTTAAGGTTTGGGTTCATGACTGGGTTTGTATTCACACATTTATTTTCCCTACTAGCTATTACTCTCTTGTATACATTAGGAAGGATGATCAGGGTAAAGTCTTTTCTATATATATTTTGTTCATTGCCATCAATTTTCTCTGCTTTCAAACACCCCGCTGCCAAAAGGCACATCCCTTGGCAGAATGGACTTTGCTCCTGACCTAACAGGTGTATTAAAGGAGCTGTCAGCTGTTTGGGCAGATGGAATGCCTGTGTTCCTCCCCTACCTTATTTCAGCTGTCTCTGTCTCACTCCCCTTCCTCTTTAACCCCACATCTTTCTAAATCTCCCCTGGGAAGTTCTGGTCAAGATGGTGGAATAGACGGTCCCCAGCATCAATCTCTCCCAGAAATCAACCAATTGACAACTATATAAAAAAGCAACAACAGCCAAGCTGGGGCCGCTAGAACTCAGGGGAAGAGGAGGAGAGACCTACAGAGTGCATGAAGGTGGGAGAAGCCATGATGAGAGAAATAAAAAAACTGCTCTGACCATTTCATGCTGCTGCCGCTTTAAAGCTGGAGCTGCTGAGCACACAGAGCAGGAGCTGGCAAAAGCCAGCAAAAGCAACTCTGCTCAGATGGAGTTGCTTGGAGGCAGCAGGGGAGAAGAGGGCCTTGGTGGCCCCCAGGCCAGCAAGACCACTAATAGGGTTCTCATGGGCCCATGCAGGAGTGAAGAGCCACAAAAACTGAAAAAAATGGAGCCAGTCAGAGGCTGGTGAGTCATTGCAAGGGACTGGTGCACAGCCCGTCCCATGGGAAGTGTTTGCAGCATGGGTGGTGGGGGAGACAGGCCCCCTGGGGGAATACTGGGGCACAGCAAGGACAGCTGATCTCCACCCCAATCAGTGTAGGACCACTCAGAGGAGACTGGTCAGGAATATAGAATTGCATTGGGTACAATTTGATGAAAAGACTCAGGCCCAGATCAGAGTTATTACACAACACAGGTACACTGAGTCTCTGGAGAGCCAGAAGTACCTATAAAGTCAACCATTAAAACCTGTGCTGCACAAAAAGCCTTCCCTAGTGAAGCAGCAGCAAAGCAGCAATTTAGCTAAATCACAGAGCTCAAGTACTGGTCCCAACAGAAAATTCCCCCACTTTAGAAGTAAGCAAAGGACAAAAAAATTATTTCCAGCTCAGACACATCGCCAGCACCTTGGGTCTGCCCAGGGATGTGAGGCATGGATGTGAGGCATGGATCTGGGGACCGGAGCCCCCTCCCACAACCAGGCACACTGCGCCAGTGCCTCGAGGCCCACCCAGGGACCTGAAGGATGGAGCCGGGGACCGGACTCCCCCCAACCAGGAACACTGTCAGTGCCAAGGAGCATGCCAAAAACATCATCTCCATGTGGGTGGCCCACCATAGCCACCACAATAACTACGGCTGCTGCAAAACCAGCTAGATGCCACAACCACCATGCAGATGGTCCGCCAGCCACTGGAGTGCATTGACACAAGGAGAGTCACCAGCAGAGACCAAAGAAAAGAAGAGGAAGTCTCTCTCCTCAAAGCCCATTCCAGAGTGACAGAAGAAGCATCTGCTCTATGGTAATATTGGGGACCTGATCACACCTCTCAGCATTGGACAGATCATCTAGGCAACAGATCAACAGAGTAACCATTATTCTTTAAGGAGAGAAGAAATCTAGGGTAATTAGAGGGTGGGGGTTTGGGGAGAGATTGGACAAGGGGCATAAAGAATAAGTATGATTTGTAACAATATATATGCTAATATATTGATTTGATCAATATATCTCAACATTGAACCCCAAAATATGTATATCAATTTTGATTCAATAAAAAAAAAAAGTAAATAAATCTCTCCTGGAATCACAGGTACAGTGGCTGAGGCATTTTAACCCTGTGCAGAGACCCAAGCAGGAGTGGGGCCTGAGCCACCTGGCTCTTCTTGTCTTAGCTACCAGTGTTTAAGCTCCAAACATAAAATCTGAAATAGATGGGAATTCTATTTAAAACTGTTTATAGTTTCATGCCCTCTTCTTCTCAGCCTCTCTTTTAAAGACAATTTTATCTTCATATATCCATCTCTTGCTGGCATGAGGTAAAATTGCTGACAAAGGGAACATTTAAATGACTATTACTGATTACTGTGCATTTACAGCTTTGTGGTTGTTATGGACTAAATTGTGTCTCCCCCAAATTCATTGTTAAAACCCTAACCCCCAAAGTAACTGTACTTGGAGACAGAACCTTGAAAGAGGTAATTAAAGTTAAATGAGGTCATATGGGTGGGACCCTATCCAATAGGCCTTGTGTCCTTATCAAAAGAGAAAGAGATACCAAATCTCTCTCTCTCTCTGTGCACACACAAAAAAGGCAATGTGGGGATACAGCAAGAAGGCAGCTGTCTACAAGCCATGAAGAGAGGCCTCACCAGACACCAAGTCGGATGGTACTTCGACCTTGGACTTCCAGCCTCCTAAATTTTTGTTGTTTAAGCCACCCAGTCTGTGGTATTTTGTTATAGCATCCCAAGCAGACTAATACAGTGGTCATTCTTTAGAAACTAAGGATGAAAGTTTCTCAGATTAAAAAGGGCTACTGTGTGAGCTAGCAGGTTAAGACTCAAAAGGCCTAATTTTTCCCTTATTACCACCTACTGTCTACAGTGAAAATATGAAGAGAAACTGCTGAGTTTGAAAGTCAATATCATAAAGACTTGTCTTGTTCCTAGATGAAAATTTGGAATGTTTCAAGGAAGCCTGTTTAGAAGTTGAGAGTGGACAGAGGTGAGTTAATGGGAGTTTTCTGTCTGTCAGGTGAAAGGGTCAGCCACTGGGAAGGGTAAAGATGGTTGTATTAAATGACTTCATTCTTGTCAGAAACAGGATGACATGGCCAGGTAAAGGGACTAGCTGGAGAAAGGGATATAAGGGTACACTGGATTAATATGAGTGCTCATTCTAAGTCCTTATGTCCTAAAACCCACTGTTCTTCAAAACTAGATTTGGGGTCATTGGGAGACAGAGAATGCCTTGACTTTCTTCTTTATTTTGCCTGTGACAGTGACAGAGGTGGGCAGATCACCTTGGGCAGAAATCTTTGAAGTAAGCAACTAGGCCAGGAAACATATATTGGTATGCTGGATTCTTATGCTTTCAACTAATCTTGGAATAGAGACAACCCCTAATAGGTGGTCAGTTTAGCAAAGACACTGAAGGGAGTTGGTGGAAGGTTTGTGTCTGCACAGAGGACAAAACTAAGGTCATTGCTCTGTGGCGGTCAGGGCTCGGGATGATTCCCAAGGCTATGTGTTGGTGCTGGTCTGGCCTCATTTTGCAGGTTGTATGTCTGCAGATGGAAAGGTGGCTGGAAATAGGCTAGCTCAATGCCTGGGTGGTCAGGGCTCGGGATGATTCCCAAGGCTATGTGTTGGTGCTGGTCCGGCCTCACTTTGCAGGTTGTATGTCTGCAGATGGAAAGGTGGCTGGAAATAGGCTAGCTCAATGCCTGGGCCCACCAGGCCCCAGGGTCCCTCTAGGGTTTGAGCCAGGGCCTTTATAATGGCCACAAACCTGAGAGAGAATGATCTTACTCCAGCCTGTTGCCCCGAATACAACACAGACTCTCAAGGGCTTTAGATCCAGATTCCCAGGATCCCAGCCCCACTCGCTCATCTCAAGTTTGTTTTCTGACCTGAGCCTTATAAAGTCTCTTCAGTTCTTCTTGCTTAACCAATTGCTTTGTTGCTTTTTCCAGTTTCCTCCTTCTTCTAAGTGTCTTTTTCTCCTGTGAAAACCAAGAGAAAAGAAAAAATCTGTCTGAGAAAAATAGGGTTAAAATGACAAAATATCATAATAGCCTTTTTCCCTCTCCAGCCAATGGTTTCTAACCACTGCTTAGCTTCTAGAATAATGAAATTCAATAGAACTTTCTGCCGTGATGGAAATGACCTATATGTGGACTAAAATGTGAAAGCCACCAGCCCCATGTGGCTATTGGGCACTTGAAATGAGATGAGATGTGAATAAGACAGTGAATTTTAAATTCTGTTTAATTTTAATGAATTTAAATGTAAATTTAAGTAGCCACAAGTGGCTAGTAGGTGCTGGATTGGGAAGCTGGGGTGTGTGTGTGTGTTTGTAAGGTGTGTAATTGGGAGTGGCTGTGTAGAGTACTGGCTGGGGTCAGTTGAGGGAAGGAGTAACACAAGAATTATACCTTATGTGGGTGCTACCATATGGCCCAGAAGTGACGGGCCTGGAGACAGACAGGCAGACCAACAGGCAGGCAGGCAGACAGACACATTCTCTTACTACATGAAAACCAGTTAACAACCTTAAATATTGCTTAGGTTGGGTCTACAGTGCCCAATTTAATCTAGGAATAGAGGAACGTATCTAATCCAACTGAAAGTGCTGCTTGGCTTGAGGTAGGCATAAGATTGCTTCCCTTCCCTAACTCACTTTGCCAGTACAAATACAGCATTACTGTCACTGGCTTTTGAGTGTGTCTGGGCTTGTTTAAAAAAAAAAAAATCAAAATTGATGCATGTAAAACAGATGTCTGGATCTTAATGGTGTCACTTCCGGGTTTTAGACACCAGAGAAAGGAGAAGTGACTGTGTGGCCAGTTCGACACATTGGTTGAGCATGGGCTCCAGGAGCCAGGCAAAGCTGGCATCAATTCCAGCTGAGCTACATGAGCTCTGGCATGTCATATAACTTTCTTAACTCAGTGTCCTTTTCAGAGTGATGAGAAGGATTTAATGCCTACCTTATACTGATATTGTAGGATTAAACGAGATAACATAGGCCAAGACCTTTGCAGAATACTTGAAAAAAGATATGGGATAAATATTCAGCAAAGAGCATTATTTTATTATTATTAACATTTCTATTATATTATTATATTATAAATTAGCATGATTATCACTTTTTACTATAATCTATTATTTTTCATGTGTGTAGGAGTATACATAATATATATATGTACACATACATACATCCTGTACATACAAAATATATGGTCAAAATTGGGTTAGTTTTACTATGAGTCTGCCTTCTCTGAATATACACATCAACTTTCTACATATTAGGATGAGAATTAGAGCGTGCTAGAGATTTCTTTTTAATGTTGGCAGAAACAAATATATAGAATTAGAAAATCGTTATAGCTAAGCCTAGTGTCGGAGCATTTGATAACTGTGGTTGAACTGAATGTTTGTTCATTAAAAAGACTATAAATCCATAAGCGTGAACTTGAGACCTCATAAGCCTGACTCTAGATACTACCAGAGCAATCCAAGTCCAATACAGAGGTCAGAGACTGTACCTTGAAAGCATGTGTGTTTCAGGACTTTATAGATCCTTGTAATTCTGTCCTCCATCCCATGGGTATAGATGGAGAAACCATCACTCTCTCTAGGAAAGCATCCAGCTTTGAGGCTTCAGAACCTCTAGAGGTCATCAGTGACAATGTTAAATCTCAATGATAAAATTTTGTTCTTCTAGAATTCTCCTTAGGACCTAGAATCCTAAAGGTCTTCTTCATCCTTGGAAGGAAATTTTGGCTCTCAGACTCAAACTTATCCCCTATCATATTATTTCTGTTTCTAGGGGATGACTTCCAGATAGACTGTCAACCACTTTGAATAGAGGTTCCAGGTCTTTTGTTAGGGGACCCCTCCATTAGGTAGTCAGCACCTTTCTGGAAAGGTTGAGGGGAAAAGAGGTAGTGGGGATCAATGACAGTTGTTATCCACTGATTGTCTAACTCAGTCTATATGGAGAGTCAGTTCATTTGTTTAACAAGCATCTCTTGAGCTTCCATTACACTAACCTACATAATAAATTCTAGCAGTTATTGAGGGCTATGTGCCCGACACTGCACCGGTTACTTTATGTGTATCATTTCATTTATTCCTCAAATTTTACTTATTTTACAGATAAGGAAATCAAAACCCAGAGAGGTTTAATAACTTGCCCAAGATGACACAATTAGTAATTGCTAGAGCCAGGAGTAAAGCCCAGATAGCCTGAATCCAGGATCCACATTTCATCTAGTCTATACTGCCTTTTCTTGTGCTAAGCACTATTCAGGCACATCCAGAACTCCTGCTCCTACAGAAAAAAAAAATGTCAAAGTTTCCCCCTAAATGAAGACCATTCGATACAATTTCAAAGGGGGGCTGCCTCAACAGCATCATGTGGTCTTAAGGTTCCCCAGCAGCAAAGCTGTTGAACCCTGACTGCTTTATCAAGAGTAAGCAAACAAAACCTAGAGGAGGAAAGAAGTCATTTGCTCCCTTTTATTAAAAGGATGTTGACATAGAAAGAGGATGCTTTATTAACACACATTCATACAGCCTTACGATATGCCAGGCACAGTTCTGATGTCCTCAGTGATGGTGAGGGAGGAGAGGAGAAAGGGTAAGGGCTAAGGAAGAAAAGACACACTAAAGGAAAAGAGAGAAACCTGGCAGAACCAAGGACAAAGCTGCAAGATTTCTTCCTGTCTTGGTCTCTTAGATCCAGGCATCGGTTTGGGAGGAGAGGTGGTGGTGGGAAGGGGTGAGACAAAGGGAAGAGGCAGAGAGGACATATCTTGTCTCCAGTTTCCTGTGCAAAGGTTCATTTGAGCTGGCACAGGCTCTGTGCCACCTGGCTGGGGACACACCTGCATGGAATAGAAGAGACAAAGAAAACAGAGGACAAAAACCTCCCCTCGTTCCTTCAGTGTGAACCCTTGGGAAGTCATAAAGAAATAATCCTCTCGCCAGCCTCCCTTCCCATAGGAACCAGCCCCATGAGAAGCCAGGTGCAGGGGGTGTGCTTTACCACCTGGCAAGAGTTAGTGAGGACTGGCTCTGTTCTGGGCCAGAGGAAGGACAAGGGGCTATTTGTGAGCCTGGTCCTGGATACCATGGTCTTGCTGTTTTGACGTGTTTGGGCCACTCTGTTCTTTTATTCTCCACGAGGGTCGAGATGGCTGATGATGAGCTCTCTGTCTCATTTGAACACAGAATTAATTCAGGGTCACTCAAGGGAATGAGAGGGGCAGTAAGGAAAACCCAGAAGTCAACACAACACACAGAATTCATCTGTGTTGAGAACTGAACTGATCAGAGATGCCCACAGTTAGAACTGAGAAGGCCACGCATGTTCTCTCTCTCTCTCTCTCTCTCTCTCTCTCTCTCACACACACACACACACACACACACACACACACACACACACACACACACACACACATGTCCCAGACCCCTCCTGACTTGATCTAAGCTGGGCCATGGAGAGTTGGAACCCTTGAGTGACTTGAGATGATGCCAAAGCTCCTAATGCCAGATATGGAAAAGTTGAATCTAAGTAAATAAACTTGGCTCTCTCCTTCCCTTCCCAGATCCTCACTGCTCCAAAAAATAAACACTACCAAAGCAGTGAACAGCTTCTCTGTCCACTCGGGAAGCATTTTGGGTCCAACCATATAGCTCCCCCACTCCCCGCCAGTGGATAAAGAAACCAACAGTGGGCTTTGGGACACTTGTCTCTGTGTATGTGACATACAGACACATTTACAGACGTAACAATGTTTGTGTTTTTTATGTATGGGCATAAGAGTTGTTGAAAGAGTTCCCCAGAAATCCTAATGTTCACCAAGCAGAAAGGACTGCCATCTTTCCAGCTGGCACATGACTGGTCCCTTCCACAGTAGGGATCTTCAGAATATCCACGTCTGGATGCAACTGCATGGTTCATTTCATATTTCTGATTAGAATAAACACAACATTTTCCATGCAATCTGCCTCTAGTGCTTCTTAAATGAAGCTGTGCTTCCCCCCAGGGAAATACGCATCTGCTTGTTGTAATTTTTTCAATGGTTTGCTTGTTGGACCACATATTAAACCCACTTTAAGAGCTGTAGTCACCAAACGGTTTCAAGTAAATATGCCTCTTTTTTTCCCTCCCCAACTTGAGGCTCTGAGAAAGGCAAGCTTTTAAAAGTTTGTTGCCTTAAAGAGATAATTCTTGGGGAGTTCCAGGTAACAAGAGCACCCTGTTCGAAGCAATGAAACGTGATCCTCCTAATGAAACCACTGCAGATGGAGCCCTATTGGGTCTGAAATCTGGATAGTAAATGGCCCCCACCAGCCAAGGCCTTCTTTGGTTTGCCAAATGCTGTTACCTTTGACTGCAAGGAAAGCTGGGGGTCAAATTCTTCATCTGAAGAGGAGGTGGTAGAAGAAGCAGCCTCTGTCACCTGTGCTCGGACAGGGATGTGCATGGAGCCTGAAATGGGAGCAGAAAAACTCACTGAACTGCTTTTCCTGCTTCATGAACCAAAGCTGCCTGTCCTTCCTCCCCTCTTACTCCCATTCCCTTCTGTCCTGCCCTCCCCTCACTGCACCTGCCAAGAGCAGGAGGAGGCAGTACCTAAGGGCAACTGAAAATTTGGCCCTCCTTGTTAATTACCTTTCTGGGTCCCTGCCAAGAGCTTTTGCAGCACTCTTTTCAAATTAAAAAAAAAGAAAAAAACAAAAAACAAGGTATTATGCAGAAATCAATTAATTCCTTAAACACCATTTATATGGTGTGTTGCTTAGAATGCATTCAGAGATTAAATCTATTACTAAAATGCATGTCTGAAGTTAGCTGAGTTACCTAAATGCTTGTGTAAGGTTTGTTCTGCAGAGTAATTGAATGCAAAAAAAAGTCAGAGCCAGCTTTTAAACAAATCACCCTTCTGCGGCTCACAGCATCTGGCACCCATTTTTACTACATGACATCTGCTCAGTGTAAAAGAGCTGGCGTCAGAATGTCTGGTCATAGAAGAAAAAAATCCCAAATGTAATCAGAAGCAAAAGGACTCTAAGCCTAAGGTTTTATCACATAGTCTCATGCAACATAAATATTTCATTAATTATGGCTAAACAAATGCCACTTTTATTTTCCTAACTTGCAGATATTATCACATCATTGAAGTGATGATTCAAATGACCAGGAAGGGCAGTTTAAGATAGGGATGGCTCAGCAATGCAGGGCCCCAGGGACAGTGAAGTCGAGGAGATATGCCAACTCTGAGCAAGAGGTAGATGGTTAGAGGCAGCAAAGTGCCTGTGTTAACTAAAATCTCTGGCTGGGGACCATGTGTGATAAGGTCTTCCAGGTGCCACAGGAGGCTTTTATTCTTCTCAGCAAGAACATCTGCCCCTCCACATCAACCTGATGCAGAGTTGAAATTTAACATCTGGATGAACCTTTTCTGGATATCGACTATCAGAACCAGCTAGGACTCTATGACAGGAAATGTACTGATCTTTAGTCTGCCATGGTAGCTTATATCTGAATAGAAATATGTGTTGAGTGGGGGGAAAGGAGGAGAAGCATTTCCAAGTCAACTAACATTCTCTCCAGCCTCCTTTCTCCCCGTAATTTTCAACAATTCATCCTAGTGGGAGAGACCAAGTTTTACAAAATAAGGGTAAGTTTAACCTCCAGCAGCACATTTACATATGCTGTTATTCAAAGCAAAATAATGTAAAACATCTAGATAATAACACAGCCTCTCTAGGGAGAGAGTTCACTGTTTTCCACTTTAATTTGCCAGATGGGAAAGCTCAGGTAAAGACAGAATCAGAGAGCAGAATAATAATGGGTGGAGGTATTGTATTGTTAGTGGTGAGCTGAGATTGTTTCCCAGTTCCAGCTGCTAAATCAGTACTGAGTAATTTAGTCACTGAGTATTCACTTCTTAGTGTGTGAGCTTTAGAAACTAACCATCTCCTGAGTTTCTCAGGATCATGATTTCTAACTAGCAGAATTGTTGTGGAAGAGTAAAGATTATCAATGTAAAGTGCCTAACTCAGTGCTTGGTACTTTGGAGGTGCTTAAGAAAATGTTGCTGTTCTCATCATCATCATCAGCAGCAGCCACTTCATCATAATCATAGATCCATGTTAACAATACTGCAATAGGGCTGAGCCTGTGGCGCACTCGGGAGGGTGCGGCGCTGGGAGCGCAGCGGCGCTGGGAGCGCAGCGGCGCTTCTGCAGCGGGTTTGGATCCTATATAGGGATGACTGGTGCGCTCACAGCGCCCACTGGCTGAGCGCGGTGTGGCCGGTCTCAAAAAGGACAAAAAAAATAAAAATAAAAAAATACAATACTGCAATATTAGTAAAACTGCTGAATTACCTTCATTTGTGGAAGAGATATAAACTAAAGTTGAAACTTTTTTTAATTTTCAAAAAATAAATATTCCAATAGAATCACTTTGAAATTGAGAACATACTTTGAAAGATAATGTATTTCTTAAATTTCTAGCAAGAACGAAGTTATATAGTTGCCTCTGAGTCTCTTCCCATTTACTCTGTCCATCATAGAGCCAACAATTCTAGGAGTTCACTTTTCATCTATAAAGTTATTAAAAAAAACTTTGCAGGATTGCTACTACTGGCTATGTTAGAGTGACTGATTCTGGAGTTGATCTCCCACCATGAGCATTTGTTTCCAGACATGGGATAACAGGCAGTGCAGAACAGCGAAAAGGGCAAAAACAGAAACAAATGATGAAAGCCTTACTGGCTATGTTAGAGTGACTGATTCTGGAGTTGATCTCCCACCATGAGCATTTGTTTCCAGACACGGGATAACAGGCAGTGCAGAACAGCGAAAAGGGCAAAAACAGAAACAAATGATGAAAGCCTTACAACTACAGTAGCTTTCTTCCTAGAGGCCCATTTCAGACCACAGTGCAGGTAAGAAGAACCTAAACAATGAATAGTAGATTCATGGAGTAGGAAAGACAGATCAGAATTTGGGCAGGCTGAGGCAGCTGAGATGTGTGGGGCAGAATACTGGAGAGGAGGGAGCTATGCAAAAACAGAACTTCAGAAATAAGCATAGAAGTCCCTTTGAGCCTGTTGCTTAATAGAAACTATAGATGCATATTGAGAAACTTCATGAGGTTAGACAGATAACTACTGAGAAGTTGTAGGCTAAACAATCTTTAAAGCTTTTATAGGACTGGGAGATGTTCAAGTTTTACCTACCCAGGGTAGAACAAGCAGGTGAGGCATTAGTAAAGACCACAGAAATGTCACACTGTTAATAGGGACAAATTAGCCCTAGAGTAGAGATTATTATAGACTCACCTGAACAAAATTCAAAAACAAGACTTGAAAGAAACAAAGGCAAGTTAATTTACTGCCTGCCAAACATTCTTTATTGCCCATTTAACATTGTTTAAATAAAGAAACAAAATCTAGACATTAAACAATGTAATATTCACAAGGTATAGCAGCTAGTAAATAATTACTAGATATGTAAAAAAGCAGGATGAGTCTGATAATCAAGAGAAAAACCAGTCAATAAAAGCAAACCCAGAAATGATAGATATGGTGGAATCAGCAGAGAAAAATGTTAAAACAGCTATTATAAATATGCTTAAGAATTTAAAAAGAACTCCACAAAAGAACTGTTAGAACTAATAAACAAATTCAGTAAAGCTGCAGGATACAAAATTAACATACAAAAATCAGTAGCATTTCTATATACTTATACTTTCTGAAAAAGAAATCAAGACTACAATCCCATTTACCCCAGCTATAAAAAATACTTATGAATAAATTTAACCAAGGAGGTAAAAGACCTGTATAATGAAAACTAAAACTCTGATGACAGAAAGTGAAGAAGACATGAGTAAATGGAAAGATATCCCATGTTCACAAATTGGAAGGCTTAATATTGTTAAAATTACCCAAAGTGATCTACAGATTCAGTGTAATCCCTATCAAAATTCCAATGACATTTTTCACAGAAACAAAAAGACAACCTTAAAATTTGTATGGAACCACAAAAGACCCCAAATAGCCAAAGCAATCATGAGCAAGAAAAACAAAGCTGGAGGCATCATACTCTTGACTTCAAAATATATTATAAAGCTATAGTAACCAAAACAGCATGATACTGGCACATAAACAGACACAGAGACCAGTGGAACAGAAGGAAGAGCCCAGAAAAAAAAATCCACTCATTTATGGTCAATTGATTTTTGACAAAGGTGTCAAGGAGACACAATGGGGAAATAATAGTCTCTTCAATAAATGGTGCTGGGAAAACTGATTATCCACATGCTGGAGAATGAAATTAGACCCTTATCTCATACCATATACAAAAGTCAATCAAAAGTGGATTAAAGACTTAAATGTAAGACCTGGAACTGTAAAACTACTAGAAGAAAACATAGGAGAAAAGCCCCATGACATTGGCCTGGACAATGATTTTTTGAATATGACCACAAAAGCACAGGCAACAATAGCAAAAGCAGAAACACAAATTCAATAGCAAGAAAAGAAATAACTCAATTAAAAAAAGGACAAAGTACCTGAATAGATATTTCTCAAAAGAAGACATACAAAAGGCTAAAAAGTATATGTAAAAGTGCTTAGCATCACCAGTCATCAGGGAAATGCAAATTAAAACCATAATGAGATATCACCTCACACCTGTTAGAATGGCTATTATAAAAAAGATGGAAGGCAGTAAGTGTTGGAAAGGATGTGAAGAAAAGGGAAGCCTTACACAGTGGGAATGTAAAACAGTATAGTTAGTATAGAAAACAATATGAAGGTTCTCCGAAAAACTAAAAAAAAAAAAAAAAAAAAAAAAGAACTACTTTGTAATACAGAAATCCCTCTACTGGGTACATATTCAAAGGAAATGAAATCAATACGTCAAAGAGATGTTTGCATTCCCATGTTCACTGCAGCACTATTCACAATAGCCAAGATGTGGAATCAATCTAATTGCCCATCAATGAAAGAATGGCTAAAGAAAATGTGGTACATATACACAATGAAATACTATTCAGCCTTAAAAAAGAAGGAAATCTGGGCCGGCCTGGTGGCGCACTGCTACAGTGCGCCGCTTGGGAGTGTGGTGGCGCTCCCGCCGAGGGTTCGGATCCCACATACAGACCGGTTCCCACTCACTGGCTAAGCGAGGTGCGGGTGCAACACCGAGGGTTGCGATCCCATTGCCGGTCCCGGTCCGGTACAGGCGTGACACTGAGGGTTGCGATCCGTTGCCGGACACGAAGAAAGACAAAAAGGAAAAAAAAAAGAAAAAGAAGGAAATCTTATCATTTGAGACAACATGGATGAACCTGGAGGACATTGTGTTAAGTGAAATAAGCCATACACAGAAGGACAATACTGCATGATCTTACATATATGTGGAATCTAAAAAAAATTAAACTCATAGAAGCAGAGAGTTGAATGATGGTTACCA